TGTCAGCAGCTCATTTCATTAAAGGCCTGCGGTTCAGTTTACATGCTACAAATTTGACATTTTTAAATCATCATCTGTGGCGCTTTGGCCCGGAGGCAATGTCTCTGTCGTTGGTGTGGAACCCCAGGATTCACCTCCTGGGCAAGTTCGAATCCCGGTTAGGGTGGTTGGTACCTTCCAGTGGACTCACCACCCGCAGGAAGGTTTAGGGGGGTTGGTACGGTGCAATGTGATTTGGGTGGCGACTGCTGCCCCCGCGCCCCGGTAACGGATAAGCGGATGAAAAGGGATGGATGGATGGAAATCATCATCTCACGTCCGCCAGCTCCAGCTGAGTTATGAGGAAAAACAAAAGAAAATAAAACAGCAGCTCGGTCTCACACACAACCTCTTGTCCTAACGAACATTAATCATGACTGTCGCAGCAGCTGCTTCTGCAACGTTTTGTGGACCAGCGTAGACACTTTACATCATGCTTCCGTAATAAGTGCTAAGAACAAGATGCTCTTTGCAGATTTAACAGTACAATTAGAAAGAAAAAAAAAGTTTGGGTGTAAAAGCATCCATCCCGTCTGATGTTGTATTGATGTGATTTTATACTCATAAATTACGACGTTTTTCTCATTAAATTGCAACTTTTTTCTCCCAAATTTAAGGACTTTTGTCATAATGATGTGACGTTTTTTCACGTAAAATTACAACTGTTACCTTTTGACTTGAGTCTCATGAATTGACGGCTTCAACCTGGTAATTTTTATACATACTCCAATTCTCATTGTGGCCCTAATACTTTATCCTAGTATTGATGCCAAACTAAAGGCAAACATTTTGAAGCAGCAAGAGTGAGGGTAATAACTGGAGCTTATTCAATCCATTATTTATTAGATGAGATTAGAAAAGTGAGGTATGAACAAATTTGCATTTGCCACCCATCTTCTATTACACTGTTGTCAACATCAACCACTATTTTTATTCACTGCCAGGACATAAACTATATGTTTGGTCAATAGATAATGATAACAGTTTTTGACTGAGATTTCGTAGTGGGATAAAATACGGCCACATTCACCGCTTTTCCTTTCATTATTGTTGCATTAAATATGGCAGCACAAGGCCCCAAACCAATTTGGCAGCGGACTGGTGGAGTGACACCAGCACAGAGAAACATAGAGTGAAAAAAAAAACACACTTTTGCTTTCTCACCCTATTCATCCTAAGTTGTCTCATTAGCTTTCATTGTAACACGCCAAACAAGGGCTTCCAGGGTTTAGGCCATTGTTTATGTAAAGCAATTTCTGCAAGACATTTCCTGTAATTCTTTACTGCATCTTGCTATCAACAGAGACTGTGCGCCGGTAGGATTCTACTGTCGACCAGAAATTGTTTTCTAATTCCATATTATCAGCATTTTGAATGGATCCTGCCCTTGGAGACCTGTTTCCAGACCTGCTGGAGACCTGCAGAGTTATGACGGAAATTGCTAGCAGCACCGTTTGGCCCCTGGACGCACACAAACCAAATGAGAGCTCAGGAGTTAATCACCGCACAATGTGTGTCAGCGTCTGCTGACCAAAGAGTTTGCTTTCTATTAAGGAAGTCAGATTTTTTTCTACCACTACGCCCTCTGCATGCTAATTTGCCTAAACTGTACGATTTTAGGCATCGTGTCAAGTGGGTTAAAAAGTTTGGCCTGAGGTTTTACCAGTTATGTTGCGTTACATAACTGGCAAGGCTGACAGTATGACTCAATATACAGTATATTTGAATGCAATTACAGAAATGGTGCTATTCATTTAGAGTTTACATTTATCCCTCCTAACAACTTTTATATTACTCTGTTTTTCTTTTCCTCTTTTGTTTCTACATCTTTTGACAAAATTTTGAAATAGCAATATCTACCGTTGCTTGGAACTCACATCTTCTTCTTTTTCTTTCGGCTTTGTCCCTTTTTTTCAGGGGTTGCCACAGCAAATCATTGATTTCCATCTCTCCCTGTTCTCTGCATCTTCTACTCTGACTCCACCTACCTGCATGTCCTCCCTCACTGCATCCATATGTCTCCTCTTTGGCCTTCCTCTCTTTCTCCTACCTGGTAGCTCCATCTCTAACATTCTTCTACCAATGTATCCACTGTCCCTCCTCTGCACATGTCCAAACCATCTCAATCTGGCTTCTCTAGCTTTTTCTCCAAACCTAAGACATACTGTACATAACTATCTGTGGTAATAACCTACACTAACACAGTAGTAACTGTTTTAAAATCTGGCTTCTCTAGCTTTTTCTCCAAACCTAAGACATACTGTACATAACTATCTGTGGTAATAACCTACACTAACACAGTAGTAACTGTTTTAAAATCTAGGACATAAAAACTACAGAAGAGTCTGACTTAAGTTTGGGATCTATAATGAAAAGGGAAGATGTTCCAAAAAAACCCCAAAACAACACAAACAAAACAAAGCAAATGTAGAACAATCCAAAGCATGGCGTACAAGCAGCGAATGTAAACAAAGCTGTCTTTCGCATATAGCTCTGGGTGATGCTGTATTTGTCCCCCCCTCTCACTAACTATGTCTCCCATGCCAACTTGTTGCCGAGTCTTACACTGTATGTCGGTATAATGGAACAATATTTTCTTTATGAATGTTTTTTAACAACAAATGGCCGTTTTTCGATGAACCCCTTCATATGAACCTATTTAATGTAAAATATAGACTGTAAAAAAGACTGTTCAAATCGTTTCTATAGTTGGTAACACATTCTTTTTTTGGGTTACTCTGTAGTGTGTGTGCACACTGAGGAGTAAAAAACCTTTGAGTTTGACTTAACAAAGTTCCAGAGCCATCCATCAGCATTCAGTTCAGTGTCTACAGTAACTGTCCTGAGTCATTAAAGATAACGATAACAAATGATTTAGGACACGCCGTTGATGCTCTGATGAGAATCATCAGCAGACAACACAGGAAGGGAAATAAAAACCCCTTGGTGTTAGCTCCGCTGCCGTGTTACAGCTGGGGATGCCCCTGATTTGTCCACTCCCACAGGCTCTCCCACAGTTAATATGATTACACAGACTTTAGGATAATTCAATGCAACTGCACAGATGATGTAGAGAAAGTCAGTGTGGTTTCAACATCTGCTTATGCCGCTGCTTGAAGACCACAGAGAGCCCAAGATTTAACTTATTACCACATAATACCAAGTGGGAAATCTTTTTAGACATGGTGGCCAACCCACATATAATTCGATATTTTTGCTTCTAAAGTTCCTTGTGCCACAACAGGAGCATAAGAGGGCAGCTGTGAGAGTTGATTAGCACATTCAATATGGGAGAGATAAGCCTCGGTTTGGTAGAATACACAGAGCTTACTGAAACATGGCTACTTTATTAGTTTTAACGGGTGCAGTCTGGATTATGTGTAATCCTACACTGAATTTATTTCATGCAATGCAAATCTCTTATAAATATGTAGCTGCAGGACTGGTAATCCATGCGCTTCCCCGTCCCTATAAAGAGATAATGCAAACAAATGAGTGTTTTGCTTTACAAGAGTGGCCTGGAGCAAGTTGAATGTGATGGTAAAGGTCCATCCAAAGGTGTTGTGGTTGGATGAAACAATAATTATAAAAGAAAGGGTCTTTGTTCATCAAGGCGAGTTTAAAAACTGCTCAGCAGCCGGTGATCATCTTTCCCCTGAGGGGTTGGATGTGAGCAATGCACTGCTGCTGCAAATAAAACATGTGTTACAGTCGTGTCTTGTCACTTAAAAGAATATCTAAAGGAATACTAACTTTACAGACTCGAGTAAAAAAGAGACGTAATGAATACATGACACAATCATGAGTGTCAGAGTGGAAAAAAAAAAAAAAGTCTTCTTCTGACTTGCCTCCAGAGGAATCAAAAGCTGGGTGAAGGTGGAAATGACTTCTTCATGACATGATGATAAAAATAAAATCACAGATATGCTCCTAAATTAGGCTCAAATCCTGTCTTGAATCCTATGCACCAGATACATTGTCATAATGTCAGATGCTTCTGCTGCACAACTGAGAATGGGAACATTTCAACTGTTCTTGGAAGATGTCAGGTTTAATAAAATAATATTAGAAGGAGATACAGTGTGAAGTGTTTTACCTTTCTGTTTTATCCTGGTAAATAATACTAAGCACAAATAACATAGAAAAGAAAGTTTCAACACTTTGAGGACTGTAGTTGTATCCCTAAAATGTACAACTAAGAAGATACTGCAGTAGAACATTATTGTACGTGTGGTAAAATGATAACAGGTTTGCACAGGTTTAATTAAAAATTAAATACAGAAGGAGTATTCACCAAAGTCCAGGTGGTCACTTGCTTCACTGTCAACTTGAAATCCAGCACATGAAGAATCTTAACTTTAACCAGTGAAGATTCAAGGTCAACATTTTAAGACTTATTGTTGTGTTAAGGTATAGACCTTCTGCACCAAGAGTTATTTTAGATGATCATTGTTACTCAACAAAATCTAAAATGGACAAATAAACATAACAAAACAAAGATATTTTATGATATAATATATATGTCAGTGTTTAAGGGAAAGGGATAAGACCATTGAGATTGAGTTTTTTTTTAGTCCTTTACCCTAGAAATAATAAGTAATGTACATTGCCATAATAGATTGAAGTATTTTTTCCATAATTTTAAGAAGCATGAACATGGATTTTTTTTAAATATCTGAAAATATTAATTTAATTTCCCCCAAAGAAAGTGATGACAGCTGTTGATGGCGATATGTTTTAAAGTCCATCTCACAGTAAACTGATATTTTTTTGTAACTAATATATTCCTTTTCAAATTGTATTGTAGATACAGGTTAGTTATGGCTGACACCCACCCCCTAAAGGACAAGGAAATAATTTACAAATGTTGCATTTATAGTTTATTCCTTATTTTTTGTGTTTTCTATGTCATCATATAATGGTGTACTTCAAACGTGTGTACCACAGAGTGTGCCTGTGTGTGGTACAACAAGTCACATGCTCTCTCAATAATTAAAGAACTGCTTTCCACGGTCAAAAGCAGCAGCCCTTCCTGCTGGAGAGGAAAAACAGCTCAACGTGTGACTGACTCAAATCCCATATTAAAGTACATTGACGCACACACTGCTGCCTGAACATGTATGGGACGATGCCTTTTTTCATCATTGTGCTGCCCTCTACAGGTCCATCCTCTTCATTTTGTTCTCCACCTCCTCCTCTTCCTGTCCTCCTCTACCCACCTCCTTCACATTACCATACCCCCTTAAAGACTATTGCACGCATTAAATCCCTTTTCATTTCCGCGCAGTGACTGTCATGAGATTGGGAGGAATTTATGTGTTTTTTTTTTCTTCCTGAGTGATTTCTGGTGCCGTGTTATGATAATTGTGTCATAACGCGGCCATCGCTGTAGGGGATGCACCAACCCAAGATCAAGTTCCACTAGTTGAAAGGTTGGTTTATAGATCAAGCTGACGTACGTGTACACGGGATATTTTATGACCTGTGCGGGACTAGATCGGACTCTTGCGCCGCTGGATGTGAACGCTGAAGAAGCTTTCATCCACCTTCCCCAGGTTGGTGTGAACTGTCCGGCAGCTGAAATCCAAAAGATCTATACATACATCACCGGTGGTAGCAGCAGATGCAGACACGGGAATTTTTTTTTTTTCCCCGTGCTCCAATCTCTCCGTTCCGCTCCACCAGTGCGCATGTATGGCAGTCAGTTAAAATGTATGCGGCAAGTCTCGCCTGATGTGGGAATATAGCGCGTCTTCATTCGCCCCCTCTTCTTCTGCTTGACCATGTTCGAACTTTGGTTCTGGCTCCTTTTTCGAGATGACATTGCTCGTTTTAGTCGCCGCTGGAGGAGCGCAGGATCAGCCCGTTTGGCCGCGCTCATTGTCGTGTTTTTGGCGTGAATGAAAGACTGTGCGCTCTTGGATGCCTGGTTTATGGAGACAAACACCCAGGAGAGCTGACTTTGGAGGATTCTTTTTAATCAAATTTTTGTTGAACAAATGAGTGGGAAGGGCGGCTGGTGAAAAATTTAATTTTCACCGATGCTGGTGGAAGAAAAGAGACACCGCTACGTGACTTTGGGGATGCTTTGGCGTTCATCCGGATCAGTACGGTAAGAAACACTCCAGCTTTTCCCTTTCTCGTTTCATGCTACGCACATATTTCAAGGAGCTGTCCGTGGTGCTGAAAGCCCCGCTCAGCATCCCCAGTTTGCGCCTCGCCAAAGTTGAACGGGAAATAGAACGGTGTGCAGCAATCTGCGTCTGCGGCTGCTGTGACAGCAACAAGAGCCTGCATTCTTATGGACACAGCAATATGATGGCAGTTTTACTGGCCCCGTGTCTTAGTCTGTGTTATTCAGCGGAATTTTGGCCAAACGCTTCAGGTCCATTTACATTAGAGCCACAGTTGCGGAAGTGAGCTTTTATTGAGGTAAGAACGAATACTTCCAAAGAAAATGATACACAATAAAAGGGATTATTTCTAACGCGTAGGTGACACATAGAAATAAGATAATGCGCATATTTGTTCAGCTTGGACCGTCGACAGTAGGATTTTGCCCTCTTTAAATATGCGTGTGTGTGTGTGTGAGAGAGAGAGAGAGACAGAGCGAGGGAGAGAGATAGCGAGTGTGTGCACGTACGTGCACGTGCTCACGCGTCTGTGGGGGAGAAAGAGGGAGAAAAGCGAGCGAGAGAGACGAAAGATGAGGAGGGGAGCTGGAACCATTGAAAAAGCAGACGCCGCATAGAATACTTAATTATAGAATTATTTACTCTGTCGAAATACATTTTTTATCGAGATGTTCGACGAGATCTCAAACACTTGCTTATTTTGCTCTGACCAACTCCTGGCGTTTCTTTTTTTAACTCCCGGTCGTGGGCAGAAGAAGGGCTGCGACTGTGGTCTTGTAAAGCCTGGAATTTTCGAATCGCAGGCCGAGTTTAAAGATTAACATTGGCGGCTTCTCTGTTTAAGGATCCTGGTGTAAGCAGGACAAATGGGTGATTTTATTTTGGATTTAGTGAATAAATCCACTCAGTGTGTTGTGGAGAGAGCTGGACAGAAAACAGTTTCCTCACTGTTACCAAGTCGTCGTCTATGCGGGGTGAGTTGGTAGGTAGTCTTAGTGGCAGTAGGGAGTTGATATCCCTCTTTTTAACTGTTAGTTTTGTGGAACAGGGACCAGGACGAGGTGTAAACCCATCTATGGCTGTGCACAAAGCGATGTTTGTTCAAGTATTTTTCCTTTGTCGAAATTCTCAAAGGATTGAATTAGTAAATGAGAAGATTAATCAGTCTGCACACGGTGAATGGCAATCCTTTTTTATCCCTCCCAAGATGGATTGAAATTCAGACACGCAATCTAATGCGCAGTGGCCATATACCGTGAGTAGCCGGGACATATATTTTCATTTAGGTATGCATTTATTAGAAAAAACAGTCGGACCAAGTTCATAAATGCTGGGGGAAAAAAAAGAGACAGATTTGCATAATATACTGAAATCATTGGGCCTGCTGCCCTGTGCTTTTCTGGATGTTTTGAAGAATGTATCGTGTTTCTTCACTAGGGGGTGACCTATGTTTACTTTGTGTGCATTTCCACACATGTAATGTTGTAGCTGTATGTGAAAGAAAACAAATGAAAAATTTTCTCTTCTCCCTTAGATGACTCCTCATTTTGGTACCATACTTGACTGAGCTGGGGCGACCTCACCCAGGAAAAATGCATATCTGGATCCTAAGTCTAATCCTTCTGATTGCATCATCTCTGAGGCTGGTTGAGATGTATGACAATTATGGAGAGATCTGTCGAAGTCTTTGCACATGTGAGGAGAAGGAAGGGATCCTGACAGTGAGCTGTGAGAACCGAGGGATCATCAGACTTACGGAGATCAGCCCCGTCCATTTCTCCATGTATCACCTCCTGCTGACAGGGAATCTCTTGAAGAAGCTGTCAGTCAATGATTTCATCAATTACACCGGGGTCACCATCTTGCACCTGGGGAACAATGATATCGCTGAGATAGAATCAGGGGCCTTCAATGGGCTACAGGGATTAAAAAGATTGCACCTAAATAACAACAAAATTGATTTGCTCAGAGATGACACATTTACTGGACTGGAGAGCTTGGAATACCTACAAATTGATTATAATTACATTACTAATATTGAACCCAACACCTTGAGCAAACTCCACCATCTCACAGTGATGATTTTAAATGACAACCTGCTCTCGTCCCTGCCTTCGAATATCTTTCGGAATGTTCCACTCACGCACCTGGACTTGAGAGGGAACCGCTTGAAAATGTTCCCCTATGTTGGCCTCCTAGAGCACATGGACAAAGTTGTGGAATTACAGCTGGAGGAGAACCCGTGGAACTGCTCTTGCGAGCTTATTGCTTTAAAGGCCTGGCTAGAGAGTATAGCATACACAGCTCTGGTCGGAGAAGTTGTGTGTGAGACACCGTTCCGGCTCCATGGCAGGGACCTGGATGAGGTTTCCAAGCAGGAACTTTGCCCAAGAAGACCCCTGGATGACTCCGTTAGGCCCGCACCACCCAGCAGCACCAGTGGATATCCCCACACCACCCCTGCTGCTGTCACTGCATCTGGCACCTCCTCTGCTGTTTTCCGCTCCTCGTCTAGGCCTACCAAGGGTACAAGGCATTTTAACAGAACCAGGTTAAAGCCCACCTCCAGAATACCAGGTGGTAATCCTTACAACTATGGCCCCATTATTGCTTTTCAGACAAAATCTCCTGTGCCTTTGGACTGCCCCACTACCTGCACATGCAACCTGCAGATATCTGAGATAGGGCTTAATGTCAACTGCCAAGAGAGAAAGATTGAAAGCATTTCTGACCTTAAACCCAAGCCATACAATCCTAAGAAAATGTATCTCACTGGAAATTACATCCCAGTGGTACGCAGATCAGATTTTGTCGACGCTACAGGATTGGATTTACTTCACCTGGGAAACAACAGGATAACAGTGATACACGACAGAGCTTTTGGGGATTTAACCAATCTGCGTAGGCTGTATTTGAATGGTAATCTCATGGACAGGCTTACAGGAGAGATGTTTTTTGGTTTGCAGAACTTGCAATATCTTTATTTAGAGTACAATAAAATTAAAGAAATTGATGAGGGCGCTTTCCGTTATCTCCCTAATCTCCAGCTGCTTTTTCTCAACAATAACCTCTTAAAAACCCTACCTTCAGGCATCTTTTCTAGTCTTTCCTTGTCCAGACTTAACCTACGCAACAATAATTTCAAAAACCTGCCTGTGAGTGGTGTATTAGATCAGCTGAAACTGCTCCTGCAAATAGATCTGTTTGAAAACCCCTGGGACTGCTCCTGTGACATGGTAGGGATGAAGATATGGCTGGAGCAGCTGAATGCAGGAACTGTGGTTAACGAAGTTGTGTGTGAGACACCCAGAGTCCTCACAGGAAAGGAGTTGCACTCGATTCAATCGGAGCAGCTCTGCCCGGATGACTCCAACGCTTACACGCTGCCCACCATTGCCACAGATGAGCCCATGGATGAGCAGGTTGTCACCACAGCAGCTCCGCAGAAGTTCAACACCCCCAGCAGCACAGTTCCTCTCTCTGTCCTCATCCTCAGCCTCCTGCTTGTTTTCATCATGTCTGTCTTCGTGGCTGCAGGGCTTTTTGTTGTTGTGATGAAAAAGCGCAAAAAATCACAGAGCGACCGTACTAGCACCAATAACTCTGATGTCAGCTCTTTTAACTTGCAGTACAGTCTTTACAACAACCGTTCTGGACCCAAAGTTAAGGCTCCAGCCGGTCATGTCTATGAGTACATTCCACATCCCATGGGCCACATGTGTAAAAACCCCATATATCGGTCACGGGAGGGCAACACTGTGGAGGATTACCGTGACCTCCATGAGCTGAAGGTCACTTACAGGAATACCCCAGATGAGGAGAGGGAGGGCAGTGTGATGAGGAGCCCTGCCTACAGTGTGAGCACCATCGAGCCAAGGGAAAACCCCTCCCCTGTCCAGGACGCAGACCATTTCTTCAGGGGGATCCTGGAGCCGGATAAGCAGTCCCCCCATCAGCCCATTCCATCCATCCCAGCAGGGGCCAATTTAGAGTACAAGTACACAGGGCCGGTGTCGTACACATACAACCCTAATTTTGATGTCAGACGTCAGTTTTTGCACCCGGAGAGGATAAGAGAAACAGTCCTGTACGGCACCGCACCGAGTACTGTTTATGTTGAGCCTAACAGGAACGAGTACTTGGAGCTAAAAGCTAAACTGCAGTCTGAGCCTGATTACCTCGAAGTTCTTGAGAAACAGACCACCTTTAGCCAGTTCTGAGCAACAAAAACCTGAGTTCATGTCAAACAAATGCATTTTTCTCCTTCGTCCCTCTGTGAAACACAACAGTTTATCCGGTGCCTTGGCACAAGACAAACAAGCTAACACGGGGGAAAGATGTGGAAATTGAAAAAAATAAAATAAAAAATTGGGGTGTGCCGAACAATTTTATTCTTATTTCTGAAACATGACATCACTGGAACGGATACAGCTTTCTGAGACATGGAGGAACATTATGGCTCTGCTTAACTGATAATGCAAAATCTATTTTTCTATGATGAAAAGCAAATACCACACAAAATGTACCTGTACAGGTAACTTCATTTTCAGGAATATAACCATGCATAAGGTATATTGTGAATCAGAAAAGAAATGTTTATTAAATCTCTCCTGGACACAAAAACACTGTACAGCAGATCATCAGAACTGTGTAGGACTATTTTATCTGCTGTAGTCTGTAAGTAAGTATTTATTGATATAATCTGCCATGTCGTTCAGATCTTTTTGATTCCACATCAGTATTACCTGTGTCATTCTCCATGATCCTCTGGACAAAAAAGGCTTATGTTTGTAGTTTCATTTACCGTAGCTCTGCATTGTAAACGTGGCTTTTTTTGAACGTGGCACACCCTTGATTGTGCTCCTCGAGTCTCGGGAGGGTTCTCTGAATTTTTATTACAGCCAGGCTGGAGGAGAGCAAGAGTTTCTGTTGGCACAGCAGTATTGGATGTGGAGAGTCATGATGTATCCAGGCTCATCTCTTATTCCAGGGATCATGTTCATGTTTAGAAAAAAAAAAAAAAAACCTGACTGCGTCATTTTGAGAAAACAGGAAAAAAAAAGAAGTGTCTTTGTATGCTTTCTGCACTTTTTGCAACGGAAGGCGAGTCGGCCTCCGATGAGCTCTCATAAAAGGAGATGATTATATTAAAAATGAATATGGGCATTCATTCTTAATATGTAGAATCTATGTTACGGAGCAATTCAGATGATAATCTGAGGTATGGAATATGTGGTGTGGGAACCAATATTTTAATCAATGTTACACCTATTTTTATACGACCATTCGCAGATTCTCTATCCTTCATCAAGTTCATTTCATTTGGATTGCTTTGCACCTATCGCACTATATGACCAAACTATGTTATTGTCAACCAATAAACATGATGTCAGGTTGAGATAATGTTCTCATGAGTAAAGGTGGAGGCTGTGGGTGAATTCAAAGTGTACAAAGGTAAACGGTTATTTAATGGATTAATCCAGACAAACAATCAAACACACACACGCACACACACATTAGACCCGTGAATTGGCTTTGTTGGGAACTCAATCAAAGCAAATCAAGAGACTCTATACGGAGAAGGTCCTAGTCAGGAGGCAACCAGTGTCTCAGTGAGCACTGGAATCAATTGGCTACAATCAATGTGCATTATCTGAGGGTGTCCCTTTGCAATTACACCTTAACACCATTCATGCTGCCACCTGACGAATATTAAGTTGTTCATTTATAAAAAGAAAAAAAAAATCAATTCAACTCACTTGATGATATTCAAGCATTGGATTGACCTAGCAATGTTACAGACTGTGTTTTGTGATTGTGTTTTTTTTTTTTCCCCACCCTGATACGAAGAAAGTATCCCATGCACAGCTGCGGCTGCTGCTGGTGTCTTGAATCACTCGTTTGTTATTTGTGTGTTGTTGTTTTTTTCAACCTGCTCTTTTCTTGACCCAGTTAAATCCAATATGCAAAGCAGGCTGATAAAAATGCAGAGGCTGCAGTGTGTGCCTCCATTTTCAGAGTGCAGTGGGCATCACCATTTAGGAATTCACTGTTCCCTGACTGAGACAGGCAGAGATCTCCGACACAGAAGGAGATGTGGAACCTTTATTCTATCCTTGTATGTTTTTTTTTCCCCAGAAGTATTTTGACTGTTTCACATTTTTTATTCTGTACTTAAATCATTTTCAGGACATTTTAGCAACATGGCTGCCCCCCTCTTTATTGTCATTGACGAATAAATAGTTGAAACTCTTGCTGGAGTCTCTGGTAAAAGCTCTGAAACAGAACAGAAGGCACCATTTGGGAGATGGAGAGCGGGGGGACAGAGAGTGGATGTGGATGTGTCATGTATGTGATGCGCTGAGATGTAAATCATGGCTAAAAGTGTATTGTGCCACTCCGGCACTGATGTGCCCAGGGGACTGGATTGTGTTGACAACTACCAACATAAAGCTTGATTTAAAAAAACAAAAACAAAAAACATGCCTAGGTGAAAAAAACGAAAAGCTCTTAATGCAATTTGGTGTTATTTTTCCGCTAGAATGTGATACAATTTTCTTTGGCTGCAATTTCACTCCAGAGGGAAAAACTGGCTGAGAACAATTACATAATCACTGAATCACATGTTTCAAAGAGACTGGTTAAGGTTATGAAAATGTAATGTGTCTGTGCGTGTGCATGCACAGCTTTTTGAAAATTGTGTTTCTTATTAGATAAATTAAAAAAAAGGAAGAAACTGACAAAAAATATTTTTTTCAGTCCCTTGGATTTAATTAGGAATGAATTAGGTTTAAAATGAATGACTTTGTTCATAACGTGACGTGGTTTGGAGTTGACATTGGCAATCACGATCTCTTCATTCACTGCCTATCTCTTTACGTACCACAGGACAAAACATCACAAACACTCACTCACACACACACACACCAAACCTTCGTAGAGCTGAAGATATTGAAACGCTGCGTTACAATTTTTCAGCTCCATTATTCCATGTCAGCTTCTCCTGACACACCACTCCAGATTTAGTCAATGTGGAACGTTGCGGGACATAAAACGTGCCAGCGCTCCATGAAGTGTTGGATCAACACACGTTTATTTGCAGAACGACGAGTTTGACGACCATTGCGTTTTGGCAACACTGGAATAATTATATGGACTGCGATTGATTGGAAAGACGTGTCTATTCCTGTCGCTCGTCAGATGGTTTTGGCAGTCATTTTATACAAATAAATAATGAGCTATAAAACTTCACACATCAACACCTTCAAATGTCAACTAATGTCTTGTCAATTTAACAAAAAAACAAAAACAAAGAGTCAACCATTATCACTTTTAAGCATCAAAAGTCTGACATTTTCAGCATGATATTTGGATAAAGCAGATACTGTATGGCTTTGGTGGGAGGTTAAAAACTTCTCTTAGCAGCAACAGTACAGTGTCAGTGATAATTAGGGCACCACATGGCCTCTCTCTGAATTGGGACACATGCAGAGGGGTGGACATTTTGCATATGTTGAAGCAATGCTTCAGTTGCCCCTCTTGCTCAGGACGCTTTTTGCTCTCTGCATTGCCACACAGCCTGTCTCTCTGCCTGCCGCCTGGTCTCCACAATGATGTGAGCAATTGAGCTCGAGGAGATCTGGGTAATTGAGAGGGCAGGGATGGCATCTGACAGGCACCGATGGCTCCCATGATTACATTATTAAAGTAGTTAATGGAATTCCTTCAGGCATTTAGAAAAATCCTCCAATGTTCATCAGCGCTTAGCCGATATTTACCCCTGAACACCGTCTCTCCTCCAAGCATGGATCAGTAATTGCGAATCGGCCTGCTCTCCTTGTCTCCGCCATATGTTGCATCTGTGTCGTTGTGTGATGTATTACACAGGTTCACTGGATGCCGATGCTTCATTCATGCTGTGTTTTTTTTTTTTTTCATGTGGAAGTAATGTGTGTACTGTAAGGGGAGATGCTCCAGAGTCAAAGTGAAACATGCATAAAACACTATGCAGTGAAGGGGAACATTATATTCTAATTCATTTACGCAGCTGATTTAAACCAACTATTTCTCTTCACTTGATCACATGTTTAATCAGCATAGTATTACATTTTAATTTTGCTCTTCAAGTGTTACTTGTTATCACTAAATTTGTTTAGGTTTTGTTAGAGTCAACTGCAAAACAAGAATTTTTCAGTTTCAAGTGTTCAATGGACATTTTACCCCCAACCTATTTTCAGCAGCATGCATTTCCATCTTGCGTTAAAAAACCAAGGGGATAAGCTGACACACGCATATGGTTGGCTGCACACTGTGGATGTGATCAAAGCTTTTAAAGACGTGTCTTCATGTCACTGCCTGTGGAGGAAGTGCGATGGAGACAACTCACACCATGTTGCTTTTTGATTTCAGCCGTACATGTTTTAATTTTTGTTTTATTTTTTACCTTTCCCCCCTTCTTGCTGTTCCCACCAGGAAGCCTGGTCATATTCATCAGAGCTCCTCGTATTCCTTGTTTGTTTACGGCTGTCGCAGCCGTTAATCCTGAGCCGCAGTAACCCTGTCGTTTGATAAATGGCAACCATAGCGTGACTGACTCCCCAGCTGAGCTCGGTGATGCTCTGCCAAAAAAGGAAAGAGAGAAAAAAGGGGAACAGGTTGATGTATGGCTTCCATTGGCGTGCGTGTCAAGTAATTTAAGTAAAGCAGGACCAGGCACTGAGCCCATATGTTTAGGTCTGTATGTGCTTGGAATCCTGCCCTGGTGTGCGTCACCACATGTGAACTGGGGCGATGCAAATATGATACTGGTAAAAAAATGTTTGCCTTTTGGTCTTTGGTCTCTTATTGTGACAGCATCATTCCATTGTTGTAACACCACAAATGGATTTTGCTCTTCACACTCAACATTTTTTTTTAATTTATTTTAAGTTTGATCTGTCTAACCTCTAATAATTGTTTTGATTCGAGACAATTTTTTTTTTTTTTTTTTTGCATTTATCGAGACCGATATCAATACTTGTGTGTGTGTTTTTCTTTACCCAAAACACAGGAAAAAACGGGGCATTTAACAACTATAATATGCTTTTTTTGTGCGTAACAAACTAGTCATTACAAATGACATCACTTTTTTACACAATGTAACCTAAATAGTTTCATTGATACCATTAAGGGACAAAGACATCTAATTGACTTGATCACATGGAGTCTCTGCTCTCTCTGTTACCTAGAAAGGACTGTATGTCCTTCAATACAACCTTTAGGCACTACAAGAAAAAAAAAAAAAAAACAGTTGACTTACCTTACAGTGGATTTCTCAATTTTTTGGGAGCCATTTCTGTTTTTACTCTGCTGAAGAGAACACACACACCTGCATACGTCTGTGAATAATGTAATATGCATCTCGTTTTTTCCCTTCCTCAGTTTGTTCTCCACGTCCTGTCCTGTCCCCATTTTGTTTCTATCACGGTTGCTTTCAAATCACAGCGAGGAGTGAGCAGAAACGGGGGCCTTGCTAAAGGAATTAGACTGTGCACTGGGAGATGCGTCTGATAATGAAATGGTGGGAGGTAGAAAAACTAATTTTCTCACTCATGAGAGAGAGAGAGGCAGAAATACTATCGTAGGGCGAGCAGGAAACA